TTAACTACTTTAGTTATGTCATATAAGTAGAATCCTACAATATTTGTCTTTTTGTTTCTGGGTTATTTCACTTAGTATGATGTCTTCAAGGTTCTTCCATGTTGTAGTATGTGTCAGAATTTCCTTCCTTTTTAAGGCTGAATAATTTTCCATTATATGTATACAGCACATTTTGTTTATCCATTCATTCATGATGAACATGGACTGCTTCCACCTTTGGCTTCTGTGAATAATGCTGCTATGAACATGGGTGCATAAATATCTGTTCAGCTCCCTGCTTTCAGTTCTTTTGGGTTTGTACCCAGAAGTGGAATACTGGATCATGTAGTGATTCTATTTTATTTGTATATATAAAAATTATTTATTTATGAGAAACAGAGAGAGAGAGAGAGGAAGAGGGAGAAGCAGGCTCTTCGTGGAGGAGGGAGCCTGATATGGGACTCGATCCCAGGACCCCAGGACCATGACCCGAGCTGAAGGCAGACACTTCAACTGACTGAGCCACCCAGGTGCCCCTATTTTTTATATTTTTATGGGGCTTGAACTCACAACCTTGAGATCAAGAGTCACATGCTCTACAGACTGAGTCAGCCAGGCACCCCACTATTTTTTATGTTTTGATGAATCATTGTACTGTTTTCCAAACATAGCTGCATCATTTTATATTCCCACCAGCAAAGCACAGGGGTTGTAATGTCTCTACATCTGCACCAACAATTATTACTTTCTGTTTTTTGACAGTAGCCATCTTAGTAGGTGTGAAGCGCACCCAGATTTTTTAAAAGTAACTTTTTGCTAGGGAAAATTTCCAGCATATAAAAAGATAGAGTGAATGCTAGTCGCACTGCTGTGCGTCTCACCTCACTTCAGTAGTTAGGAACACTTGGCCGATCTTATTTCAATTAGTTTGCGCTTCCTACCCCATTATCGGAACATGGGTCCCAGTCTTCATATACTTTTTTTCCCCTATTGTGAAAAGCAGGAAATAAACATAAATTTTTTAAAAGATTTATTTATTTATTTGAGAGAGAGAATGTGAGAGCAAGGGGAGGGGCAGAGGGAGAGGGAGAGAGAATCCTCAAGCAGACTCCCCACTGAGCACAGAGCCCAACATGAGGCTTGATCCCAGGATCCTGAGATCATGACCTGAGCCAAAATCAAGAGTCGGTTGCTCGACTGACTGAGCCACCCAGGTGCCCCTATAACCATAAAATTTTAATGTTATGAATGTTACTGCAAATTTTACTTGCACCATTGTTCTGCCTTTCATTCAGTGATCATAATTCTTTTTTTTTTTTTTCCTAAAGTAATCTCTACACCCAACATGGGGCTTGAACCCACCATCCCAAAAGAGTCAGGTGCTCGTCAGTCAGAGAAGGACAATCATCATATGGTTTTCACTTATATATGGAAAAAAGAAATAGTGCAGAGGACCACAGGAGAAGGGATGAAAAACTGAATGGGAAGAAATTAGGGAGACAAACCACGAGAGACTGTTGACTCTGGGAAATTGAGGGTTGTAGAAGGGGATGTGGGTGTGGGGAGTAGGGTAAGTGGGTGATTAGCATTAAGGAGGGGACATGATGTGATGAGCACCGAGTGTTATATGCAACTAATGCATCAGTGAACACTACATCAAAAACTAATGATGTACTATGTGTTGGCTAAATGAATGGAAAAAAAAAAAAAGAGTTAGATGCTCTACCGATTGAGCCAGCCAGTGATCATAATTCCTGTGTCATTATTAACAAATTTCTTTGTAGCATCATTCTTGCTCTCATGCAATGCAGATATAGATGTACTTTACATATGCCCTTCACCTACCCTTGCCTTCTCACTTGTTAAAAATTTATTCATGGGGGATGCCTGGGCGGCTCAGTCGTCAAGCATCTGCCTTTGGCTCGGATCATGATCTTAGGGTCCTGGGATCGAATCCGCATCGGGCTCCTTGCTCAGTGTGGAGCCTGCTTCTTTTTCTGCCTGTGCTGCCTGCTGCTCCCCCTGTTTGTGCTCTCTCTCTGACAAATAAATAAAATCTTTTGAAAAATTTATTCATGGGTAAAATGAAAAAAATACACAGTAGCTGTGATCACAAGTTGCAGTCATTTGTAAGCTCAACCATAACAGCACATCAGTAACTATTGAAAGAAGTCATATTAGAATGGAAGACTGAAACAACATTATTATAGACATAACCTTGGATTGGTTTTAATTTCTTTAAAAAAATATTTTCATTCATGTGTACCTCAGTATAGTGTATACCTCAAAGTTAAGGACTCCTTTTTTTTTTTTTAACATAACTGTAAAACCATATGATACCTAAAAATAAACAATCCTTTTATCATCAGTTATCCACTTAGTATCACCCGTATCTTTATGCCCAGTTTCTTTTAATTCAGTGGTATGGGAAATGAAAAGTTGACAAATCACTCAAAGAGGACAATTTAGGGCGCCTGGGTGGCTCAGTGGTTGAAGCCTCTGCCTTCGGCTCAGGTCGTGATCTCAGGGTCCTGGGATCGAGTCCCGCATCGGGCTCTCTGCTCAGCAGGTAGCCTGCCTCCTCCTCCTGTCTCTCTCTGCCTGCCTCTCTGCCTACTTGTGATCTGTCAAATAAATTTAAAAACAAAAAAAAATCTTAAAAAAAAAAAAAAAGGACAATTTACACTAGTAACCAAGATGTAGTACTTTGGTGTGTATTACAGTTTTTGTTAACTCTGTGAGCAAGACGATGTCTAGTTTTAATACTCCTTTCTTCTTTAAACCATTAATTACTTTTCCTTCTTTCTATTATTTGTTGGCATTTGTATATATCATAAACAGTACAGTAGGCCACTTCCTTTAATAAATAAGGTGAGCCTTGTTCTGGGCTTACCTCTGTTTGATTTATGTTAATGTGTTTATTTAAACTTACCTTTTTTTTTTTTTTTTAAACTTTATTTATTTATTTGAGAGAGAGTATGAGCGAGGAGAAGGTCAGAGAGAGAAGCAGACTCCCCATGGAGCTGGGAGCCCGATGCGGGACTCGATCCTGGGACTCCAGGATCATGACCTGAGCTGAAAGCAGTCGCTTAACCAACAGAGCCACCCAGGCGCCCTAAACTTACCATTTTTAGGAGTTCTAGAAGATACACATAAAGGCAGGACTCAGGATGAAATTTTATCTACAGATGTATATATCTGATAGGATTTACTGGTAGAGATGTTTACATTTTGGCTTTTTGGAGGTGGGGAATGGTAACTGGGCATTTTCAACTATGCCTTTTCCTTTTTTTTAAATTTTAAGATTTTACATATTTATTTGAGAGAGAAATTGAAAGAATGAGTGGGATCAGGGGCAGAGACCGAAGCAGACTCCCTATGGAGCAGGGAGCCCGACATGGTATTCGATTCCAGGACCCTGGGATTGTGACCTGAGCTGAAGGCAGACGTTTAACCAACTGAGCCACCTAGGCACCCATAACACGCAATTATTAACTCCTTTCCTTCCTTTAATTTTCTTAATTTGTGCGGAAGCCTGCAATGTACAGTATGTGCTACAGCACTTTATAATGTTAGGAGGACATCTTATTCAAGATGTACAAAAAAGAACACCCTGTGATTTAAGATTCCATCAGTTTTCGGGTGTGAGAATGCAAGTCTGTTGTCAAGTGCAGATTAAGAGTTAAAGGCAGAGCTGGTTCTTTCCCTATGGCTCTTTATATTTCTTCTGTGCACTATTTTACTAATTAACAATTTTCTTTTACTTGAAGATAGCTTATATTCTTGTTGGGTAAATAACCGTGGTCATTAAGAGCATAGAAGCTTCAGAGTGATAATGACATTAAACTTATTTCCCATTCTTCTTGCGTTGTGATAGTAGTAGTGGTTGTAATACAGGTAGTTACTTAATGATCCTGTATAGTGTATGCAGTGTGATAGGCAAAAACTAAGTGCTTTGCATATATTAACTCAATCCACACAACAACCCCATGAGATAGATACTGTTATCCTCATTTACTGATGAGGGATTGAGGTAGAGAGAGGTTAGTAACTGACTACTCCATAAGTACAAAGAACTGGGAAGCGGCAGAGCTAGGAATTGATCTGAGGCAGCCTGGCGCCAGCGTCCTTCCTCCTAACCATTATACTGTACTGTACTTAATCGACACTCATGTAAGTAAAGGGAAATGTGAGATAAAAAATGCTTTTAACATCTTTGTGGGCTCTATGGAACTTATTATTTGTTCATTCAATGCTCCCTTGTAGAATCAGTGATTACAGAGAGAACATTTAATCTCAAAGCATTCATCCCTATTTCCAAACTAGTATTTTCAGATCTGTTCTCCATCTGAGACCTTGCATTTAGAAGTACATTTGAACTTTTTAGTTGAATTGGCAGATCAAGAGCTTACAGACAGGATATTGCCTTTAAGTATTTAGACTGCATGTGCTGACCCCCTGAAGCAGTAATTTGGTTAGATCACAATGTTTCCATTAGAGTACAGCAGTATTAGGGGTTCTGACTTCAAAGTGTGTATGTGTGTGTTTTATATGTATCTTTGTAAATAGGCCACTTCTCTATAAATGGAGCCAAGATTCTAAAAAATCTCTCAGATCCATTTAAATCCAAGAAATACCTAAGCATTTGAAGTAGAACTATGAGCAATGCAAAATGTTACCTTTCTGGAGACTTGTGATAAGTACAATAAATAAAACAATCTGCCCATTTTTAAGCCTAAAGAACCTCCAATTAATCTTGCAGAATTCTCAGTTGAGCATTGATTTACATACACTTTTTATCTTGAAGTCTAAGCTAATAGCTACTATTTGATAAGAAAGTCAATGTTCTGTTTTCTTCTGCTTCCTTTGTCTTAGGTTTTTGTGGGTCTGCTGTGCTCTGAACAGGTAGGCTTAGGACACATCTACCCTGTGGCTTTGGGTCAGTCACGTGTTTGGCTGGAGGGCAAGTGTGCCTTTTAAGGAGGCAGGTGACTTTTTCATGCCTATTTTCTTTCCCCTAGGTTTATGAAGGCCTAGACATCATCACCAACAAGGTTTCTGCCCAAGAGCAGAGAATGTGCCAGCACCACATGATCAGCTTTGTGGATCCTCTCGTGACAAATTACACAGTTGTGGATTTCAGGAACAAGGCAACTGCTCTGATATCCTTAGGAAAGACAGCAACTAGGTTTGGTGGGTGCAAGGCAGTCCAAGCCAAGAAAGAAGTTTTCATTTCAGTGACAGTTTCTTCTAAGCCAAGACTTAAGAAGAACCAGTAGGCAGCACCCCCAGCAGAACTATATGGATCAAAAGATACAGTACCCTTGCTTCTCAGAGTGTTGTCAGACTGCAGCACCAGCCATCCCTTGGGTGCTTATTAGAAATGCTGAATTTGGGCCTCACTCCAGAACTACTGAATCAGAATATGCATTTCACAAGAGTCCCAGGTGATTTATATGCATATTAAAATTTGAGAAGCTGTTTTAGTGGAGAGAACACTGATTTAGGAACTAGAAAATCTGTGTTCTAGTCCCAGAACTGCCTCTTTGGACCAAGTGAATTTTACTGGGTAGAACATTTACCCAGCTCATCTTCAGTTTCCTACCGTTTAAATGGGGATACAGAATCAATTTACAAATATAGTGGAGTTACAGTTAGAATTTAATAGGGATTATTGGGTGGGGGAGGACAGCAAAAAGAAGATTTTTTTTTCTGTGATCAGTGATCTTTGATTGATTGATTGATTGATTGATTAAGTAGATTGTACGTGCAGCATGGAGCCCAACACAGGGCTTAAACTCACAACCCTGAAATTAAGACTTGAGCTGAGATCGAGTTAGACGCTTAACCAGCTGAGCCACCCAGGTGCCCCTTGTTATTTATTTTTTTAAAATTTAATTCCAGTATAGTTAACATATAGTGTTCTATTAGTTTCAACACCAGTATATTTTGAAGAAAGAATAATATAAGGGGGGGATTGTCCTTATGTTTTAATTGTCCAGGCTTCCAGATGGGGTAGCTGGCTGGCTCAGTTGGTAGAGTATGCAGCTCTTAATCACCAGTTTGTGAGCTCAAGCCCCATGTTGGGTATAGGGATTGCTTTAAAAAATTTGGACTGCCAGATAGTAAGATACGAGGAAAATTCATAATAATTATAATAGTATTGAACTTATGCTGGGCAAATTTATGACACAGAATAGAAAACTCAGATACAAATTAAAATGTTTATATATATTTATCTTATGATCAAGGTGGCATTTAAAACAATAGAGAATACAGTAGTTAATATTCCTGGGACAGCTATTCTTTTTGGAAAAAATAAAATCATGACCTCATTATGTATGACATAAATTGCAGATGGATTTCAGAGTTAAATATATGTATTTTTAAAACTTTAAAACAAATGGGATAATAATTGAGTAGTTACGTGATTTTCGAGTAGGGAAGGACTCTGTAGATACACAGTTACTAAAAAAGTTCTTTTTTTAATTTTTATTTATTTATTTGATAGACACAGCGAGAGAGGGAACACAAGTAGGGGGCGTGGGAGAGGGAGAAGCAGGCTTCCCACCGAGTAGGGAGCCCGATGTGGGGCTCCATCCCAGGACCCTGGGACCATGACCCCAGCCGAAGGTAGACGCCTAACAACTGAGCCACCCAGGCGGCCCTCTAAAGAAGTTACTTTAATGGATTTTTTTAACTCAATTTTTTCATTTATTTTACTGTGTTAAATACACACAAAATTTACCACTTAACCGTTTTTTAAGTGTACAGTTCAGTTGTATTGAATACATTCACATTGTCGTGCAACCATCACCACCATCCATCTCCATAACCTTCTGGGTTTTTTTTTTTTTTTTTTTTAAAGATTTTATTTATTTGACAGAGACCCAGTGAGAGAGGAAACACAAGCAGGGGGAGTGGAGAGGGAGGAGCAGGCTTCCTGCTGAGCAGAGAGCCCGACATGGGCTCAATCCCAGGACCCTGGGACCATGACCCAAGCCGAAGGTAGATGCTTAATGACTGAACCACCCAGGCACCCCTGTTTTTGTTGTTGCTGTTGTTGTTGTTTTGTAAGATTTGTTTATTTGAGAGAGAGAGAGCACGAGTGGGAGGGTCAGAGGAAGAGGTAGAGAGAATCCCAAGCAGACTCCCTATCCTATATGGGGCTTGATCCCAGGACCCTGAAATCATGGCCTAAGCCAAAACCAAGAGTCATGGATGTTCAACTGACTGTACACCTAGGCACCCCCTGCCTTTTTTAAACAAAAGTAGCTAGCTTCCAGTATATTCAAATTAAGAATTTGTGTCAGCAGGAATATATATCAACCAGAACTAGGTATCTACTGTAGAGTAACCTTGCCAAGCATGTGAGATAGGTGATAGATGTCATTCATAGCAGCATTGCTTTTAATGGCAAAAACAAACACCTAAATTTTTACTTACAGAAGAATGTATAAAATTTGCTTTGTTCATATAAGTACTTTTTCAGCAGTGAAAATGAGTAAATTGTACCTACATGCAGCAGTCAATGTGGAAGAATCTCAGAAACAATAAAATGTGAGAAATTATAGACATTCATACCGTATACATTCATACCATTTATCATAAAAGTTAAAATGCAAGCAAAACAGGGGTGCCTGGGTGGCTTAGTCAGTTGAACCTTCAGCTCAGGTCATGATCCCAGGGTCTTGGGATCGAGCCCCACATCTGGCTGACTGCTCAGTGGGGAGCCTGCTTCTCCCTCTCCCTCCACTGCTCCCCCTGCCTGTGTGTGTGCACGCTCTCTCTCTCTCAGACTCTCTCTGTCAAATAAATAAATAAATAAAATCTTAAAAAAAAAAAAGCAAGCAAAACTAACCAATATATTTTTGAGGGAGTTATATACACATAAGGAATAATGTAAAGAAAAGCAAGGGAATGATAAGAAAACCAGACAATTCAGGATAGCAAATCTCAGGTTTCCCCACAGAGAGGGGAAATAGGGAGTTGGGATGGGAGTGAATACATACAAGCTTCAAAAGAATTGGTAATACTCCTTTTTTACATTGGGCTCATGAGTATATGTTTATTATTAAGCTTCATAATTTACATATGTTCTTTTATTTGTATTGAATATTTTATAATTTAAAAAAAATTAGCCCACTATAAACAAAATTAAGAAACACTACAGGCCAGAGGAAAAAACGTTTGTAACATAGGAAAGGCAAATGGTTAATATCCTTAATATATAAAGAACTCATATGAATCAATATGAAAAATACTTAAAGGGCCTGAGTAGTAATTCACAAAGGAAGAAATACAAGTGATGGTAAACATGAAAAAGGGTTTTTAGCCTTGCTGTTAAGGCCATGCAAATCAAAATAATGAGATCATATTTTTTTGCCTATCAAATAGGCAGAGATAAAAAATGCAGATAATTCTTGCCTTACCTGCTTTATGAGACAGTTGTATCAGGTGAGATAATATATATGAAAGCCCTTGGCATATTAAAACATATCACTAAATGTATGTTGTTGCTTTAAGAAGATTTGGTTGTTCAAAAAGAGCTGATAGAAAATGGTGTTTTCAGAGGGCAGTAAGGGATGACCCATCCCTTACAGAATTGGAGATTTCTGAGTTTAGGTAAGAACCTAAAATCAGAATGTCAGAACTGAAAGTACCTTAAGAAGTATCCAGTTCACCTTCTTGATTTGACAGGCTAAGTAAGGTTTAGATACAGAGGCCCAGAGAGAAAGGTTTTGCCCAGGATCACAGTTGTTTCATGGATTAGGCAAACAAGTTAAACCTTTTACCACCAAGTATCTCCTATCCCATCTCCTTCCCTCTTTTCCACTCTCTCTCTTTTTGGCATCTCACCATTTTCCCCTTCCCTTTTTACTTCCCTTGCTCCTGTTCCCTTTGTTAATCATGGTATATATTTGAATTTATGTTACATTTACTGTAATTGTATGCTCCCTGTACTTAAGAGGAGGAATATAGTATTTCTCTTTTTAAAAAACAAATTGAGAGGGGTGCCCGGGTGGCTCAGTCGCTTAAGTGTCTGCCTTTGGCTTAGGTCATGGTCCCAGAATCCAGGGATGGAGCCCTGCATTGGGCTCTCTGCTCAGCAAGGAGTCTGCTTCTCCCTCTGCCCCTCACCAGGCTCTCTCTCGCTCTCTCCCTGTCTCTCTCAAATAAATAAAATCTTAAAAAAAAACCAACAACAACAAATAGAGAAAGAATGTTTCTTCTTTAAGATCCTTGATTGGTAACAGCTTTCTTCTCATCCCACCCCAACTTCTTGGGGTTCGTGGGCTTCTGGTAGAAAAGAGGTCATCTGTCTCTGTGCCCACAGATAGGCTGGCAAGGGAAGAAATGCATAAATGAGTCTTTGTCTAGGTTGAAAGTCTCTTTTTATCAATTATCCTCAGAAGCAAAGCCCTTCATAAAGCAGATAATTATCTGTTCAACAGGGATTCTAAAGAGAAGAATTCAAAATAGCCGGGATATAAAAACAATAGTGGCTCAAGTTAATTCAGTGCTTACTCAATTGAAAGCAAATATTTCAGGCATCGTGGTAGGGGATTTATGTGCCTTGTCACATTTAATGCTCCTTAGAATTCAGGAGAATTTTACAGGTGAGAAAACTGAAGCACAGGCTGGATAAGTTGTCAGAGAGTTGGATTTGGTAATTGAGATCTATTTGTCCTTGGAATCTGTGCTTCTCAGTTTATCTGGTGGAGTCTCAAGTGGGGCTGAAATGTGCAGTACTACCACATAATGATGGGGACTGACTGAGTCAGTCAGTTCTGACTGAGAACCATAGCACAGAGAAACCAACTTGTATTTTATCTCAGAAGGCAGTCCCACAATGGACGTCACCGTGGTGGCTTCCTGAGCAGCTAACACTTGGTTCTCTGAGAGCCCTTGGGCTTGTGCTCATTAAACTGATTTGGAATACCAGCAAGCTTTGAATTTTAGCAGCAAGGCCTAGAAATTTCTAGAACTGGAAGGAATTACCATCATGCATCTGTATATGGTTTGTGCAAGTCCCTCTAGAACAAATAGGAAATGCTTCTGAGAACTCATGGGAAACAGTGAAGACGGATATCAGTTCATCTTGGTTTCCACCCTTTCTCCTCTGTTCTCCAGACGAGTAAATGAATGTGGTTTCTTGCTAATACCTCCTTCCCAAGTGAGTCAGGATGCTCTTCTTGATACTAAATATTGTGATGTCTTTCTTAACATTCACATTGAAGATATATTTGCCCGACACAAAATTCCTATTGTCGTGGGAGGAACCAATTATTACATTGAATCTCTGCTCTGGAAAGTTCTTGTCAATACTAAGGTATGTTTAGTTCACTTGTAAGTCACTGAGGAAATGGGTTCCTCTTTCTTGCCAGCTAATTTTAGTGGGAGGAAGGTTGACTCTTGTCTATTTCTTAAACTCAGCAACTGTAATTTTCTTACTTAATATTCTGAAGCAAATGCCACCTCCATATGTGAAGTGTGCTCCTCCAGGGTGGCCTGAGGGCAGGGGCCGTGTGTGGGAAAAATGCTCCTCTGTGAATTAATTAGCATCTTCATGTAAGTTAACAGTACATCAGTCTGACTCAGCATTTCTTGGCTTTAACAATCTGTACATCAGTGAGATGTCTAACACTAACCCTTCTGACGGAGATGCTATTGCATAGGGTGAGACTTTGCAGACTGTAATGTGTGGGCAGTCCTGGTCCACCCTGGCCACTTGCTGAGAAGACTAGACTCCTGAATATGTTAATACAGATGTGTTAGCCCTGGTTTGTGTTTGTACTTCTGACAAGGAAGCAGGTACCCTAGTACTTCCCCGAGCAGGAAGTCCTCCTTTGTGTGCTGTGGCCTCACCACACTACCACAGTATATTGGAAATTTCTACCGTCTGTCTTTCACTCTATGGCAGGACCTTCTGGTTTCTCTCTGTTCTATATTCCGAACTCCTAGCAGAGTGCCTGACATATACACTGTTGCAGTACTTGTTGAACTGTTGAATTAAATTTACTTCTGAACCGGGACGCCTGGGTGGCTCAGTTGGTTGGACGACTGCCTTCGGCTCAGGTCATGATCCCGGAGTCCCGGGATCGAGTCCCACATCGGGCTCCCAGCTCCATGGGGAGTCTGCTTCTCCCTCTGACCTTCTCCTCGCTCATGTTCTCTCTCACTGTCTCTCTCTCAAATAAATAAATAAAATCTTAAAAAAAAAAAAATTTACTTCTGAACCTTCTTAATAGCCCCATGAGATGGGCCCTGAGAAAGTGACCGACCGAAAAGAGCTTGAGAAGGAGGATGGCCACGTCCTCCACAAACGCCTAAGCCAAGTGGACCCAGAAATGGCTGCCAAGCTGCACCCCCATGACAAGCGCAAAGTGGCCAGGTAAGAGAGCCTGGGCCCACTGAGCCTGAGTCCCTCTGGAGTTGGGCAGTCAGTTCTTCAGTGCGCCTGGGTAATGAGAGGAGTTTGGTAATAGCAGTTAGTGGAGACTGGTATGTTCCCAGCTCACAGGTTGCGAGGCCCTGAGGTACTGCCTCAGTCCAACTCCCTCAATAAATAATTGCACTCAACTTTGTTGTTAATTTAAAATGTATAATACAATGGAGTTTTCCCTAGGGCCTAGGTAATTGTGCTTCATTTTCTATTTGATCTTTGCTTGTATAACAGTTTTCATATAAATTTTTTCTGGCATGCAGTTGGTTTACATTGTGATTTGAGTTTCATAATTGATGGCGCAATGCTGAGTTCTGCCCCAGCAGCTTTCCTAGTGGGAGGTAGATTTTATAAACTGTCTCATAGACCAGCTCACCTTCCCATGTGGAGGCTTTCTTGAAGGGAAGAGCGAGGTGGTGAATGAACTCATAAGGTCATGTTTTCTTAGGTTTGTTTTGAAATTGCAGCCTCGTGTGGTAAGTTTATTCTTCTGCAGTGTTGGGAGTGAAACCATATCTAATGAAGTGGGGTAGAGGATCTGATGAAGGGAGGTTGATTACACAGATTAGATACTAGAGCACCATCTGGTATTGATAGGGATTATGAAGTAGTCCACTCAAATGAATAATCTAGATGAGTGTTTCTTAATCCTTTTTCACTGTCTCCCACCACCCCATATACACCCAGAGCCTTTTTAGAAAATTTTGTGCTAATTCTGCCTCCCTGCCTCCCTGTCCTCCATGGAATGTAGTACTAAAGAATAATATTTCTTTGGGTATGGTTGCCCCTCGGAGTGTCACATACCATTGTACTGTCTAGGTATTTTTGCCTCCTTCAGAGCAGTGTCACCTCAGGTGATAATGCACATTCTAGATAAATGAAATTTATACTTCCGGTGTCCAAACATTTTATTTTAAAAAATATTTTAATAGAGATATTTCAAAAATTTTTGGAGAACAAGAACATTAATGATGAACATTTTTATGTTTTATGATGTAATTCTAGAGTTTGGGCTTTATTACCCTCTCTTTTTATTTATTTATTTTTAAAAAAGATTTTATTTTATTTGTCAGAGCAAGAGAGCACAAGCAGGAGAGGCAGCAGCAGAGCAGACAGAGGGAGAGGAAAAGGAGGCTCCCCACTGCCCTGCCCACTGAGCAGGGAGCCCGATGTGGGGCTCAATCCCAGGACCCTGGGATTATGCCCTGATCATGGTGCTTAACTGAGCCACCCAGGCTCCCCATCCTCTCTTTTTACTAATGAGTTTTATCTTATCACCTCTCTGCATTTTGCTGCTTATAAACTAGTAATGTGCCAAGAATTGTGTCTTAGAATCAGTAGCCTCTGAACAAGCGTTCTAGAGTACCTTCTTTGGAGAGGACTGAAAGACTTTGTTCATCTTTCTTTTCTTTTCCTTTTTTTTTTTTTTAAGGTTTTTATTTATTCATTTGAGAGAGAAAGAACACAAGCAAGGGGTGGGGGTGGAGGGGCTGAGGGAGAAGCAGACTGCCACAGAACAGGGAGCCCAATGCACGACTCCATCCTAGGACCCCAGAATCACAACCTGAGCTAAAGGCCAGCGCTCAACTGACTGAGCCAACCAGGTGTCCCTTATTTTTCTTTTATTTTGAGACTGTTTCCTAACCTCCAGATAATTGAGATTATCTGTTACCACGATTTTTCCTCATAGGTCCTCTTTGAGTGACCAGTGGTATGGAAAGACAAGGGTCTCTACTCTTGTGTTAGGGTTTCAGGAAGTAGAATTGGGTCGGGAGGGAAAGATCACTTTCAAGTTGAATGAATAAGTTGCAGTCACCCAGAGTGGTGACGTGTGGATTTGAGAGTTGCATTACCTAGGGCTGCATAACTAATGGAGGCAGACAGAGTGGAGGTGGCTGAAGAGTGAGGGTGTGAGTTCTTTCTTCAGTGGTCTTCATGCTAGTAGAGGACCAAATCAGAAGTGTTCTTCGTTATTCTAGACCTGTGTAAAAAAAAGTTGATGAGCTGGATATACGACATACTTCTGTACTGTGGGAAAGGCATTCCAGCGAGACTGGACTTGCTGGCTTGTAACAGTCTCCCAAATAAGCTCTTTTACTGCTTACCTGACGGTGAGTGAGTCCCATTCTGTTTGTGTGGAAGAGGCCTGCTGTTTTTGAACCTGAGTTTAGAAAAGTTAATGTATGTTTAGAAGAATAGTATTATTCTTACTTGACCTAAAATTTTCTTTGGGACTGTTTTCTGAGTAGCTGTAGGATTGGAATAACTGCAAACCTTCATGGCTTCAGGAGCTTATACAGTGAAAATGAGAAAGAGGTGGTTCTGTAATAAATAGCCTCTCTCCTTGTTTCATTTGAGAATCAGTATTTTCTAATGGTTTTTATGGGTGTGTTCCCCCTCCCCCACCCCTTTAAATGACTTAGGAGCTTGCAAGTATTTGAAGAAACGGGGATCTCTCATAGTGAATTTCTTCATCGTCAACATGCAGAGGAAGGTGGTGGTCCCCTTGGAGGCCCTCTGAAGTTCCCTAACCTTTGCATCCTCTGGCTTCATGCTGACCAGACAGGTAAAAGTCCTTTGATGCCTTAGAGTCCATCTGAAATAGAGCTTATTATACATATATATAATGCCCAGAACCATGAGTGGGTCTTAATAAGCACTAAACAAGTGTTAGCTCTTAATTTTATAATTACCATGATTCATTAACTTATTAAGGCACAGTGCCTTTCCCTTAGCTATCTGTAGGATAGGGAAAGGGAAGTAGGTGCCCCTGGCACTAGGATAAGATACCAAGGATGGGATAAGAGGAGATGGGTGGGTTGGGTAAGAGACTGCCATCCAGGGAAGGTCCAAAGAGAAAGAGAAGGAAGGCTTTGAGGAAGGAGGTCTGACTCCCTGGTTGGCTGGGTGGAGGCCGCAGACCTGAGAAATGGGTATGATGGTTAGCCTGATTATGGTTTGGTGGTTTGTTTTTTTTTTTTTTTTTTTTTTTTTTTTGGTAAAGTATGATAATGCCTTGTGATAGTACTAACTTCTCCATCCAGCTAACATTCAGTAAGCATTCAATGAAGTGCCGGTATGCTGCATAGTTACTTAGATTTCAGAGACGGATGTGAGACCGTGCCTGGTTTTTAGGAGCTCCTGGTCTAGTGGTGCAGCAAACAAAGATAGCTACTACATTGTGCTAAATGGTAGGCTAGAAAGTACCTTGAGGCCACAGAGAAGGGATACCCATTTTTAAGGATAACCTGTGGGCTGGTCTGTATGTGAACAGGCAGCATAGTGTAGCGATTAAGAACATGGTCTTTGAGCCAAACTGCCTGGATTCAGATTCCTGCTTCACCATCTTCTAGCTGTGTGTTTCAAGGCAAGTTAGTTAACATTCCTGTGCCCCAATTTTCTCTTCTGTAAAGTGGAATTAATGTATTAATAATAATACATATATGTATTGAGGATTAGATGAATTACAACATACAAAGTGGTCAGATATGCATACATGTGATGAGTCCTCCTTAATAAACAGACTTTTTAGGAGTATAGAATAAGAGGTTACTGTTACTGCAGGCTGAGCATTAGCAATGGCAGATAATGTAGAGTGTGGTTGAAATGGTAAAAATTTGTTAAATTGATCTCATATGCAAGTTCATCAAAAAAGGTAATTTTTTAAATGAAATTTTTGTGAATAAAAACATGTATTGCAGTTCAGCATAAAATAATGGAATCTGATTCATAATAAAGCTGACCACCACTTTTGGTCATAATAAAGTTTGACCATCACATCTGAATGATTATGACCCCTGACTCTTTGCTCCTTTGTCTGGCTCAGTAGTTCAAGATATACCTAGGATGGCTTTGGATTAAAGTTCCTTGTTCCTATCCGCGGTGTCATCTGAAAGTTCTTAAATGTAAAAGAACACGAAGCTAGAGTAACAAATATAATGGAAAAAAGTAAGAAGGATAACCAAGGGGTGTCAGCTACCTCTAAAGTAAACAACGACTATACATTCCATAATAAAATATTTGTCCTTCCTAATAGCTCTAACTGTATGTTTTCTCTTTATATAAGACCTGTGGTTCGTTTTGGCTGTTTTTATTGAAGTGCGATCTTAAGTATGACATATATGAGTTATTCTATAATCTTTGGACTCTGAACCCTTTCTTCCATTTGAACAAATGTATTTCTTGTAGCAGCCTGTCCATTCATAATATAAGTGTCTAGTGGGCCACCTACAACAGGCTTGCTGGTTGAAGGGTTAATGTGATTGAAGTTCTAGATGAGCGCTTGGATAAGAGGGTGGATGACATGCTTGCTGCCGGGCTCTTGGATGAACTAAGAGATTTTCACAGACGCTATAATCAGAAGAAAGTTGCAGAAAATAGGTGAGGATTTGGCCATTTCTTTGACCCACTCTCCCTCCCTTGCTTTCAGTCAAAAGACCATAAATGTAATACTGGCTTTGGATCTGCTTGTATATTAGCCTTTGTCCCTGGCATTGGCAAGGCTTGTTGGAAGGCAGTCTGGTGTACTTGTTATAGTTGCACTTTTCTAATCTGTCAGACATTCCTAGGAATGAATTTTCAAGAGAACTAACCAGGGAGCTGGTGGGGGGTGGTGGAAGAAAGAGTTTAGAGAATCTGTAACTGTTGAGGATCTCAGTTTCTCATCTGTGAGATGAAATGGCTCAGCTAGATCTTCTCTAAGCCCTTTCAGATGGAGTGGCTCATCTGCTGATGCTCTCCTGTTCCCAGCCAGGACTATCAACACGGTATCTTCCAATCCATTGGCTTCAAGGAATTTCACGAGTACCTGGTCACTGAGGGAAAATGCACACCAGAGACTAGTAACCAGCTCCTAAAGAAAGGTGTGAATTCTTCCATCTAACCTAGTCTTGGACATCCTTGGGTGGCAGAGGCGCCGCTGGTATGGTCTGAGAAAGAGCTGAGGTCAGAAGAGTCCCAAATGGCCTTCTCCCAAATGGCCTTCAACTCAGAACTGAGATTTTTGTCTACCAAGTATACTCCAGTGTGCTGCTATGGTTAAGTTCTCTTCTACTGGGCTGGGAGGGCTTGCCTTTTGGCTGGGTCAGAACTTAGAGGTTCTTAGATCTACCTTATCTTTCAGGTATTGAGTCTCTGAAACAAGTGACTAAGAGATATGCCCGGAAGCAAAACCGATGGGTTAAAAACCGATTTTTGAGCAGTAAGTCTCGTGTTTTTCCTTCTCCCCTGAGTCCATTTCCAGTAGAATATAGATCCTTAGCTCACCCAGAAAAGGAACTTTAGTTTCTGGACCTGTCCTAAGCTTTGGGGACCTGATCTGGGAGAGGGTCTACTGCATCAATGACTGTGCAGGATACTTCTTCGTAATGTCTCAGAAAACAAATGAAATCTTTCCAATGAGGAGTTGAACATCCAGGTGGTAGCTACAAACAGGTAAGAGCATACTAGCAACACCTCTGTAGAGTTGGTGCTCAAGGGGGACTTCAGCTTCAGGTTTTGTACCTGAAGTGCAGTCAGATTTCTTTAGGGAGGCTTTCCTAATTCACATGGTTCTCAGGCATCTGGCTGGCTCAGTTGGAAGAGCATGTGACTCTTGATCTCAGGGGTGGTGAGTTTGGGCCCCATGCTGGGTGTAGAGATTACTTAAAAAAGAAAGAAAGAAAAGAAAAGAAAGAGTAAAGAGAGAAAGAAAGAAAATGGTTCACAGACCAGATGAGCAGTTGCAAAAGTCAAACCTACATCCGTGCTCCCAGCGTTGCCTTCACTTTCCGGTACGTGGTGCTTCCAAGTGCTGCAGCTTTGCCTTTAATTGAACAGTACTTTTAAGGAACAGGGAAGGAAATTCTCCTTCATTTGACCTTGTTCTTTGTCTTTTAGTATATGTGCAAGCACTGTGTCTTTGACACTAAATTTGGTGCTATACATATATTACTGAGCCTGTGAGGTAGGTGTTATTCTTTTATTTTTGCAGATAAGGCAGAGGAGGCTTCAGGAAGTTAAATATATTGCCCGAAATCTGCCAGCTGAATAAGCAGTATTGATTACAGGCCTGACACCCCCTCCCCACACCACCACACACACATTGTACTTTTTAGTGCTCTTCTTGTTTCCTATAGCCATAACTTTAGCTAGACAGCATTGCTATTAGGCCTCAGGTAAGAAATTGTGCGGTTATGAGCTAAAAGGAGATTACCTTAAAAGAGATTAAGTGAAACACCAACTTTATCTTATGGACACTTCTTAAATATGCTTCTGAATCATCTCCTGTTTGCCTTTTGCTGTTCGATTTCTGCTTTCAGTTATAGATAAGGACAGCTGAGGCCTCCCCTCTGCTCTTCAGGGTCTCTGAACAGAAACATCTCGATCCATGTTGTTGACCACCAATAGCTGAAATTCTTTCTCCCACACTCGCTCTCAGCCAGGCATCTCTGGGGTAGTTCTGGCACCAAGGGGCTCTTTATACTTCCTTCTACTTACCCTGCTTTCTCTGCATGTCCTGTCAGATAGGAGAATTCTTGGCTTCAGCTAATACCGAAATCGAATTGCATCAACTGAAATTCACTACTACAGATTTCTAGTGCAGCTTCTCTTCTCCCCAGGGCTAACAATTAGTCTGTAACAAAAGATGTTTTTTGTAATGATTTGAGACTTCCCCTCGCCTGTGGTAAAGCCACAATAACTCCCCCATCTCTGAGTCAGGAGGGATTGATGGCACAGTGCATCATCTGCCCATTCCTCATTCATGTGTATGCCGGCTCAGTCCTGGTGCTAGAGTGAAAGGCACAGCTGCCTTGTAAACCAGGACCTGTGTGTGATTGGCCAGGGCTAGTCTGCTGGGACATGGCTCTGGCAAGAAGCCAGAGGGACTTCCCCGCCCCAACTTGGCCTTGGACCCAAGCCAGAAATAGCAGCTGGGAGCCGAGAACTTGTTGAAAGGTGCTTAGACAGGGCACAGAAACCCAACAAAGGACTCAGAGGGGAAAGGAAAATATAGAGTGGCCTGGAAACAGGTGCAGAGCTTAGCCAAGGCCAGGTGTGCTGTGGATGCTGCCTGCACCCTCCCAGTCTCACCTTTCCGTGTGGTGGCAGGTGCAACGCAGTCCATTTTATGAAGAATCTTACTTGTGGTTGGCACAATCAAAAGGCCAGCACCTGCCAGCCGTTGGCATCCGTAGGACTTTGATGTTTTTGTCCATGCGGAGATGCTCTTTGCCTTTAGACAACTGACTTGACCTAGCTATGGAAGGCAATTTAGTGTGTCCATTGACAGGGGAAGCTACCAGCAGAGACTAAACAGTGTTGGCTCCAATGGACAGAATGCCTGTAGCTTTACTCTAGGCTATCCCTAGTCACCTCTGCATTCAGAAGTATTTACCAAAGGGTGTTTCTTGAATACTCCTCTAGATCTGTTTCCTGAAAGAAGGGGCTCAACTAGTTCAGTCAAGGCTTCTTTCTAGTTCTCAGATATAGTGGCTCATTGATAGATATCCTTCTGTCTTAGTCCCTGAATATCCTTATGGTATCAACAAGTTTCATGAATGCCATACTGCTGAAGGGATATATACAAACCTGAGACTAGTGTCTGCTCCTAAAGAAAGGTGTGAACTCTCTTGCCACAAGAGGAGCATCACTGTAAGATGATAGGCAACTTAGAGCAGGCATTTACTTCAAACTGTTAGTTTATTTACTCCTTTGATATGCTATCTTCATATTGTAGCCCACATGGTTGTCACTAGAGCTGTTACTCTGTTCTGTTTTTCTGACTGATCTGGAAGATCCTATCTCTAGAAGTCTCTGGATTATTCAGGTAGACTAGTTGGCTACAGATCAGTAAACCTTCTGGGTCATTCTTGGATTGTATGTAGTTGTTTGGTTCATGTTTCTGGCTAGAATGAATGGCATGATCAGAATGTTTATTCCTTTGGCCCCTTTTATTTCCTTTGAGGATTTTGGAGTCCTGGGAGCAGAATTGAGTGGGTCTTTGAGGCTGACTTCTCACAATTTCTCTTTGTCATCATTAGGACCTGGTCCCAGTGTCCCTCCAGTATATGGCTTAGAAGTATCTGATGTCTCGAAGTGGGAAGAATCTGTTCTTGAACCTGCTCTTGAAATCGTGCAAAGTTTCATCCAGGTGATTATTAATCACAGTACTGCGTATTGTCTGGCTTTCAGAGACCTTTCCTTAGTTGGCACCTTTGTTGGCAGGAAACCAAACTTTCTTTTTCATGGAATAGAGCAGAAGAGTTGGCTGCTTTTAGATCTCTGGAGGCTGTGTTTCTACTTTCACATTTACAAAGGTTGATAAAATCTATCTATAGTCCACCTGTTCTGTGGGATGAGAAAAAGGAATCTTGGGAAAATCCCACTTCCCTTAATATCCGAGAATGAGATCCAAATCTCTCTGAGTCTATTGCTTCTCTCCCACCCTGCTACCCCCACCCCCCTTGTTCTTTCAGGGCCACAAGCCTGCAGCTGCTCCAGTAAAGATGCCATGCAATGAAATGGAGAACAAGAGAAGTTACCACATGTGTGACCTCTGTGATCGAATCATCATTGGGGACCGTGAATGGGCAGGTGAGTCTGGGAAGGGCACGGAGAACTGTAAGGGTGATTCACAGTGACCTTGTGAAATTTAAGGTCTTTGATAGGTTGAATGCTAGAGTCTGCTTATTTGTAAAGGGATGGCCAGATTCCTCTAAGAGCCCCTAAGTACTCAAATTTCATAGAGACTTTCCCATTTTGGAGAGTTATCTTTGTATTCTGAATTTCAAAGGAAGATCATATGCGCTCCATCTTCAGCTAGAGTAGATATTTTATTTATTTTTTAAGATTTTATTTATTTATTTGACAGAAGAGAGAGCACAAGTACAAGCAGGGGGAGCAGCAGGCAGAGGGAGAGGGAGAAGCAGGCTCCGCACTGAGCAAGGACCACCCCCGCCCAAAATGTGGGGCTCAGTCCCAGGACCCTGGGACCATGACTTGAGCTGAGGGCAGACGCTTAACTAAACTGAGCCACCCAGGGGCCCCTAGAGTAGATATTTTATACTGAGAGATCTGCAGTTAACTTTCCAGAGCTCCTTTGACTTTCCTGATCCTACCTTCTAGGAATTTCTTGGCCTTTCATGTTTAGAACTCAGTATGGATGAGGTGAGATTTTAAGGGAAACCAGCCAACTCACCCAAGAGACCAAGGAAGCAGAAACAGCTGGGAGGGTGGGGGGAGTTCAGTTACTCCTCCTGAGTACAGTCTTTGAAAATGGGGTCTCTTTGGTAATTTTTAAGGTAATATATTGAAATGGTGGTGATTGCTAAAGCTGTGATGGAAAGTGTTAAGCTGTGAAAGCAGGGGCACCTGGGTGGCTCAGTAGGTTAAGTGTCCAACTCTTGGTTTCAGCTCAGGTCATGAACTGTGCTCAGCGGGTAGTCTGCTTTGGGGATTCTCTCCCTCTGCTGCTACTCTGTCCCCACCCCCTTCCCCATGCATGCGTACACACTTGGTCTTTCAAATACATAAATCTTTAAAAAAAAAAAAAAATCTTAAAAAAAAAAAAGATGCTGTGAAAGTCAGACTTGTATAAAGGAGGTGGCCAAAGGGTGATGTCTTCTTTAAAGGTACTCCTGACTAAGCAGCATGGTCCCTGACCTTAGGCTCTTTTTCACTATTGTAGAGCCTGGATTCACCTCTGCCACAGAGTCACACTGAACTCCCCTGTCGGGTTCTTGCAGTCCTCTAGTCAAAGCCCAGAAAGGGCCAGGGCCTCCCAAGTCTTGAGTTCTGTTTGGAAATTTTTTTAAGGCTCACTCCTTTTGAGCACAGTAGGGCTTGTAGGGACCCAGTGGCTAGAATCCTGTTCAGAGCACTGCCTTGCATGGGATTCTCCTAGAAATAGAGTTTTCTCCCCATACCAACCAATAGAATGATTAGTTCTGTTAACTGGTAATGCTGGCAAAATGAACTCCATTGTCAGAGATTGGGGATGGCGTGATTTGCCCAAGCAGCAGAAGAAGCCTCGATTGTCGTTGGTTTATAATGATGAAAGGGGAAGAGAAAGAGAGTGTCTGATTGTTTTTTTCTAAAGAAAACTTAGTGGTTCAGTTTGTCGAATGTCCTTCAGGGATAGCCTTAAAGAAACAACATTTGTGAGCCTTTGTGAGCTTAGCTTGTGTGAGCCCTTCTATAGTGCCATCTGTCAAATCCTTGCTCCCATCTCCTGCTGCCATGGAGAGCCAGGCCAGAAGCCCTTTCTTGCCTTAGGCTCTAGCTGGAGAATAAAGCTGACTTTTTTCCCCCAAGTAAACTTTTCTTTGACTTCTACCTCTTCCTTACTTGTTTTTTGCTTTGAAACCTTAAAATGATGTTTTTAATAGATATCAAAGATAATTTAATCTTGTCTATGCCTTTAGAGGCTTCCAAAGAAAATTTCCTTGAAAAAGAAAAAGTAGAAAGAAGCTAGTATGAGGATGGGAACAGTTTTCGTGGTGAGAGGTCAGAAATTGGTATCAGGCAACAGTGACCTTTCAGTTTTACTGCTTCTGTGGGCTCTCAAAAAGGATTGGCAAAGAAGAATGCTTCCTGTTATCTCTCTGGAGCATTGTGTGCTTGGAGAATGGGAATCTTGTGGATTAGTCATTCAGATGGCTTGTCTAACCCAGGCAGAGGGATGTCAGATCAGCAGGGGTAACCTGTGTGAGCAGAAAAGAAGTGCAAGGACAGCTCTAGGTCTGATGTGGGACAGAGCATCTGTTCTGCAATATAGACAAGGATTTGGATTTGTAACTTTTTAGCTGAGTGAGTTGAAAGGTAATCTATCTGTAACAAGAAGCCACGTTCTGGAAAATTGAGTCTAGAGCCCTGATTCTTGAAAGTTTCGTCTCTTTTTGGACTATAGGTGAGCCGAAGAACTTACCAGCTGTGTGTCCTTGGACAAAATCTAAGTCCTTGGTGAAATTCAGTTTCCTCCTGTATAAAATGAGCTGAATAATACTGTCCTGCAAGATGGCTGTGAGGGTTAGTGATGTAAAGCACCCAGCAGGATACACTGACTGCATGGTAGCTTGCTGGCTATGTAACTTCGCCTTCCCTTAAAAATGCTACGCAGCTCTACCAGTATGTGTTGATCCTGTTATTGTTAAAGAAAAGGATTATATAGTTAGTTTTGTATGCTTCTAGGATTGATTCTCGAAAGTTCTAATGAGTTGTTTTTGTTTTGTTCTGTCTTAGCACATATAAAATCCAAATCCCACTTGCACCAACTGAGGAAGAGAAGAAGATTGGACTTGGATGCTCTTGCTACCATTGAGAGTCAGAGTATTTCTCCAGACTGTGACAAAGAGCCCGAAGAGAAAGGGTCCCCAGGGCAGAATGAGAAAGAGCTGAAATCTGGTGTTTAAAGAGAAATGTCCAGTAGTAGCCTTTGCACAGGTAGGGACCCAGTTTGGGAGGGAGGGTTATGTCTGTGTCCCTGTCTGGACTGAGGAGTGCTACGCAGAAAGCCCCCACGTTTTCTTTCTGTGGTGGTGTAGTTTCAGTGTTCTTTGTCATGGAAACAGCAGGACTTGTTAGCTCCCTGTTTGGCTGATGTGCCTGGTAATGATGATTTTTGGAAGGAATTTTTTTTCTTTCAACCCAAAAGGTTCTATTTTTGAAAGAGGCACAGAATGCACTTTTTGATACTTGAGGATCTTTTTGGTAATGAATACCTGAATTTCCTATATCCCTTAAAAAAGAAGTTTTATGTCCCTGACTGTGGCTAAAAATATCCCATTTCCACTTCTATAAAAGATGACTGAAGTATTGTGGGCCACAAATCAGGAGTTCTGGATTTGGGTGAATGGCAGGAAAGGCCCAGCCCCAGTGAGATGATTAAGTGAACTCAGCCAGTTGTTGGATTACACTGAGAAGGAGAGAAGGAGGTGGTCATGATGTGGCTTGAAAACTAAAGACTTTGACATTTGTTGAGCTCCTCCTGTGTGATAATTACTATCACTGCTATCTTTTTATTGAGTTAAGAGTCTATATTTTTATTAAAAGTTAAATAAAGAAAAAGTTTATAGGAGTCTCTTTAGTCCTTAAAAATATATATATATACCATGTCTAGTTTATACATAGTAGGCTCTGTAATCAATATACATGATAGCATTGGGGCACCAGGGGGCTCAGTTGGTTAAGCATCCTAAGGGCGCCTGGGTGGCTCAGTTGTTGGGCGTCTGCCTTCGATTCGGGTCATGATCCCAGGATCCTGGGATCGAGCCCCACATCGTGACTCCCTGCTCAGCAGGAAGCCTGCTTCTCCCTCTCTCACTCCCCCTGCTTGTGTTCCCTCTCTCGCTGTGTCTCTCTCTGTCAAATAAATAAAATCTTAAAAAAAAAAAAAAAAGGGCAAAAAAACCCCCATCCTATTCTTGATCTCAGCTCGGGTCTTGATCTTCATGTCCTACGTTGGGCTCCACACTGGGCTTAGATCCTACGTAAAAAACAAAACAAAACAAAAACATGATAGCCTTTTCTCAAACTTAACATTCGTCTTAATGATCGTACTGTCGGGGCGCCTAGGTGGCTCAGTGGGTTAACCCTCTGCCTTCGGCTCAGGTCATGGTCTCAGGGTCCTGGGATCGAGCCCCGCATCAGGCTCTCTGCTCAGCGGGGAGCCTGCTTCCCTTCCTCTCTCTCTCTGCCTGCCTCTCTGCCTCTTTCTCTCTGCCTGCCTCTCTGCGTACTTGTGATCTTTCTCTGTCAAATAAATAAATAAAATCTTTAAAAAAAAATGATCGTACTGTCTAGTCACTATTTTTTTTTTTTTAGATTTTTATCTATTTATTTGACAGAGAGACAGCAAGAGAGGGAACACAAGCAGGGGGAGTGGGAGAGGGAGAAGCAGGCTTCCCACTGAGCTGAAAGCCTGATACAGGGCTCAATCCCAGGATCCTGGATTAAGTCGAAGGCAAACGCTTAATGACTGAGCCACCCAGGTGCCCCTGTCTAGTCATTATTTAGCAAATATTTATTGAGCACTTACTATATTCCTGGAAGACATAGAGGGTTATTGGAGATGTGTGATTTCTAGCAGTGTTGAGTATATGTATATATTTAGCATATTAAGCATTTTTGTGTTTATAGTTCAGCAGCATTAATTATGTTCATAATGCTATGCAACTGTCACCTCTATTTCCAAAATTTTTCATCACCCCAAACAAGGTGTATCCATTAAGCCATAACTTCATTCAAGTAATACTTTATTTGTTCAGAATCTACTAGATGAGAGGCTAGAGGGAAAATGGAGATAAAATGAGATGTCATTCTTGTTTTCAGAGAGCTTTGTTCATACTGTACCAACAGCCAGTCTAGGGAAGAGAATATCTAAAGGCTATAAGAGGTGTGTATATACTTTGTGTATTATACTTTGGAGGGGAGGGTAGAGAGGGGAAGAGGATCATGGAAGAAGGAGCATTTCTGCTGGACCTTAAAAAGCAGTTCTTGGTTAGCTGTGTGTAGGAGGAGAGGGTAAAGAACTATCAATCCTGGCTGACCTTTTTTAAAACAGTGCTGAATTCCATAGCCTTACCTTTTTTTTTCTTTTTCCTTCTAACATTTTTTAAAAGTCATTTTTTCCACTAAATTTGTTTACATAGTTCAAAATCAAAATGATATCAAAAGACATTCATTGAGGGGCCCCTAGTGGCTCTCTGCTCTATCTCTGAAATAAATAAAATCTTTATTTTAAAAAAAAAATGTTTTGTATTTGAAAGAGCACAAGCAGGGAGTGGTGGGGGGGACGGGGCAGAGGGAGATGCAGATTCCCCACCCAGCAGGGAGCCTGACGTGAGGCTCCATGCCAGGTCCCTGAGAGGATCTTGACCTGAGTGGAGGGCAGGCGCCCAACCAACTGACACACCTGGGTGCCCCTAAATAAAATCTTAAAAAAAAAAAAAAAAAAGACATTCTTTGAGAAATGTCACTCCCATCTCTATGCCCTTCTCCCTAAGTAGATACTTACTAGTTTTTTTTATCTCTCTCAAGAGTATTTATTGATTTATTTAAAAGATTTTATTTATTTATTTGACAGAGAAGCAAGCTCCCCGCTGAGCAGGGACCCTGATGTGGGGGGCTCAGTCCCAGGACCCTGGGATCATGACCTGAGCCAAAGGCAGACGCTTAATGACTGAGCCACCCAGGGGGCCCTCAAGAGTTTTTTAATGCAAAAATGAACAAATAGAAATATGTATCCACCCCCCCTCTTACCCAGAAGGTAGCCTTTAGCACATACTCTCATCATCTGTCACCTCCCCTGTAAGCAGCATCTGGGTGTGCATGGATTTCTCCTGCCACCTCTGTCAGGTGTTTTGTGTTGGGCCTTAACCATTTATGCTAGATTCCCCAGTTAACTCCAGCAGGGATCATTTACCTCATACACTGAACTTTATTCAGATGCTAGGGTTTAGGCCCAAACCAGTCTCTGACAAATTCTTTCTTTTTTTTTTTTTTCTCTGACAAATTCTTAAGCTATGGCCAGCCCATTCGTTCAGCCAGCAGATACCTCAGAACTTACCATATGCTTGGTGCTTTGCCAGACTCAGAGGCTACAGTGGTGATCCAGAAAGTCCACACTGATTAATTACTGAATTATAGCTGTAATAAGGCTGCAAAGAAATCACATTTGCTATAAGAGCAAGTAATCCAAAGCCTTGCGCCGTATCCCCTTGGTGTGTGGGAGTGTGTGCATGCGTTGGGGGAAGGCACGTGACACAATAGGGCACAGTGTGATGCTAGCTCGGGGTTTGGAGCCAGGTCTGCAGATATGGTATGGCGTGACCTGGAAAGCTGAGGTTCTCAACGTGACTTCAGTGGCTTCTCCTCCCTCCTTCCACACTCTGTGGGTGGAATATCCTGGACCCCTTGAGTTTTATTGAGCTTTACCCATTTTTAATGACTTTGAATTTCAAGAGTACATTTTTCTAAGCCAAAGGAGAAATTATCTTTGTATCCACCCCATGTTGTTCTTTACATGGAACATAATATAGTTTTTCCCAGTCAGTTTTACATTAACTACTTCTGCAGCTAACAGAGCAGAGGTCACATCTTCCCATTGGAAGTGGGGACGATACTTAACTGTGAGTCAAACACAGTCTTCTCACACAGTCCTGGGAGGGAGAGGCTGTTTCTGTCCCCAGTAACCAGGGGGCAGAGGGACTGGGCCCAGGAGCTCAGCACGGAGCAGCCGGCCTGAGCTAAGGCACTGTTAAGCCGCCTGTAATTTTAGGAGGAACCTTCTCTCTGAAATGCTCTTAAGTCACTAAATGTATTCTAAAGCTTTAAAAAAAGTTTCAGTGGAGAAGCAGGAAAAACTAGTTTTAATAATCCCACCTCCAAAAGCCTTTAATCCTTTCACCTGAAATACCTGGAGCAGCAGCTTTTCATTGAATCACTGCTATCTCTGTGGCAATTGGAAATCAGGAATTCCCTGAAAGAAAGAAATCCAAATGCCCAATATTTATGAAGTACCTATGAAATTTAAGGCACTGTCATTGGGCCCACTGCCTCTGTTCTTAGAAACTGTAAATTCAACAAGATTAATTCCTTCACCATCAGCAGGGAGTGTAGGGAAGAGGAACACTCGCTAGAAATCAGCTTGGTGCCCCGATCTGAGGCCCTGCATTGAGGTAGATTTCCCCTTCTCTGCCTGCTGCCTTCTGAATGACCTTGCCGTTGAGTCTAAGGAAGGAAAGTAGTTCTTCCTAGTGATTGTCATAAATATAAGGATGAAAGGATCCTCAGCACCTTCTTGTGCAGATGGGAAATCAAGCCCCGAACATGGATGTTCCATAGCCCTAGAGCAGGCTGTGGCAAAGCCAGGACAAAGCTCCGCTTCCCTCTGTTACTTTTACTAAATATTTCATTCCAGATCTCATTTGAGAGCTGGAAAGGACCAGGGAGACCAGCTCTGGGCTATCTGTTCAGCCTGGATCGAGGGTGAGGAGTGCCATTTTGTACCATCTGGCCTCAGCTAATCCCCAGACAAGCCAATCCCTTTGGTCCAGGTGCTCAGAGTCTCCAGTCCACAGCAGTGCTCTCTAAATGGCTTTGGTAATTGATTCCAGCACTCAGCAAGCTATCTGGTCCACCTACCTTTGCCCCAGTTTTATTGAGATAAGGTCGAAAAAGAAAGTAAAAATCTTAACTAGGCTGTACACTTCTTGTAGTTAAGGTAATGCTGTTTTTAAGTGGGTAGGAAGTACTTCGACTCTGAATATCAGAGAGCTGGATTCTTAGTCTTTAAAATATTTTGCTTGATTTTTAGGACCAAGCAGGAAAACAGTTCATCTATAGGCTAGGTACGTGGTTTGATCCTTTGTAACCCTCAGTAACTGTATTCTTAGCCTCAGTTCCTACAGAGAGGTTTTTCTGCTTAAAACATGACATTAAAACACCACCAACAAAAAAACACTAGAAGGCAAGCTTTTATGAATGCAGTAACCTGTCTGTATATCCCCAACATGTGGAAAATCAAGTATTTGTTGAAGTAATTATATGAAAGCATAAAAGCTAAGTAGATCTCTACATAAATGATCTGTTTTAATCATTAAATAACCTTAACCAGGATGAAGAAAATCTTGAGATAGCAGCCAGAGGAAGGAATTTCAGTATTTATCACGTGCTTGGTCAGTTAGGGCTATTTTCTAAAAAGATGGCTAACGGGTCACTTGTAAAGCTATTCTGAATACGTACAAAGGAAGCTGCATGGTTGTATTAGTTAGGATAAAAGGCTAAGCTGCTATAACAAAGAAGCTCAACAATACAGTGGCTTAAGGAACAAAGAAGTTAGTTTCTTTCTCACATAACAGCTCTGGGGGGGTAGTTAACTTTTCTGAAGTGAGTGGTCCAGGTCAGTGGGGCAGCTGTGCTCCAAGCAGTCATTCAGGGACATGGACGGCTTCCTTATATCATGTTGTTTTTCCAGCCTCTGGGTGGGCATTGTCATTATCTGCATGAGTGAAGCTAGGTCATCACTGGTGGGAAGGGGAAAATGGGAAGGGGAAACAGCGCAGAGGACACACCGGAAGCCTTAAGGCCTGGACCCTGCAGTAGCACACATACCTCGCACTTCGCTTTGACAAGAACTTAGTCATGGCTGTCCGCACCTACCTGCAGAGGAGGCTGAGAAATGCAGTCACGCCATGTGCCAAGAAAAAAAGGGAGAACAGATTTTGGTGGGCAACTTGCAGTCTCCACTAAATACTTGTATCCCGGAAAGAGCCCCGGACTCCAGGCTGGTGTAACTAATTAGCTTTGCTATCTTGCTAGGGGCAGATCTATTTCCCCATCTGTGGAATCAGTGAGCTGTATGAGCTGACTGCTGAAATACTTCAGAAAGTAAAGCTGGACAAAATCTTGGCCGGTGAGATTTTTAAAGATGGGTTTGAAAAGCGTCCTAAGGAACGAGAGACTGCAGGAGCCACAGGGCCAAATGGCGAACGCTCTCAAGATGGTGGGGAGGATGGGACGCCTGGGTGGCTCAGTTGGTTGAGTGGCTGCCTTCGGCTCAGGTCATGATCCCAGTGTCCTGGGATCGAGTCCCACATCGGGCTCCTTGCTCAGTGGGGATCCTGCTTCTCCCTCTGCCTCTGCCTGCCACTCTTGTCTGCCTGTGCTCACTCTCTCTGACAAATAAATAAAATCTTGAAAAAAAAAAAAAAAAAGATGGTGGGGAGGAGTGAGAGGTATTTTGGTGGCATTGCGGAGTAACTGACTAAGGGCTGCAACTCCCTACCTGCGGACTTCTGTTTATGTGAGGGGAAAAGAAAGGGAACAACCAGAACTGCTATTTGATAGGAATACTTTCCTATCCAGTATACTGTCTCTGTGACCTTGGGAAAATTGCTCAAGCGGCCCGAGTTTCCTTATATATAAAATGGAGTTATTGCCTCCATTCCAGAGGACATCCTAAGGATTAAATGAGGTCCTTTTGAAAACATCATACTTGTTGCCATTTACTGGCAATGCAGTGCCCAGTAAATGGTGGGTATAAATTGGATTTATTTGCTTCGTGTGGAAAAATTATTAATACTCCTGACATGTTGGTTTATGGTGTCATGTCAGTTCCCAGAAGTTACCGGGTCAAGCTCTAAGTTAAAACTGATTAGGTTGGTGATCCACAACGCTCATGGCCTAAAATGGTGCCTCACGTATTGTCTACCATTTACTAGATGTTGTTACTGGTTTTTTTTTTTTTTTAAGATTTTATTTATTTATTTGACAGATCACAAGTAGGCAGAGAGGCAGGCAGAGAGGGGGAAGTAGACTCCCTGCTGAGTAGAGAGCCCGATGCAGGGCTCGATCCCAGGACCCTGGGATCATGACCTGAGACGAAGGCAGAGGCTTTAACCCACCGAGCCACCCAGGCGCCCCACTGTTTTTTGTTTTTTTTTTTAATTAAAAAAATTTTTTTATTAAAAAACCCAATTGGAGCTTGAACTCACGACCCTGAGATCAAGAGTCATATCTCCAGTGGATGAACCAGCCAGGGCCCTTGTTGTTTTTTAATGCATATGATTTCTTCATGGCTTAGCTCATTTGCTTAAACTGTTTTCTTCATCAGGAATGCTTTCTGCTACTTTTTACCTAGTGAACTCCTGTATATCCTTGAAAGCCCAAATCTCATGTCCTCTCCTTAGACAAAGCTTCGTTGGCACCTCTAAGGAAGCTTA